TGTAAACTTTGGTTCCGACCACATTAGTTCCCAAGCAAAATGGAGGAGAGGTTGATTATTGCTGTGGCGGGTTTCCCAATAATCTATGACGTGTCCCTGTTTGCATACAGGGACATAAATAAAATTTAAAAAATGATGCGTGGACCAAGGTGTCTGAGATTGTTGGTGTTCCTGGTGAGTTGCTGATGTGCATTAACGTTATAGTAATAATAATCTAATGACATAATAAATAATAGTGTAATAGTCCCAGTTCACTTTTAAACCTTTAAATCAATTTTCCTGATTATACTTACATTAAGTAATGTTTATACCTGATTATACTTAAGTAACATTTTCAATGCAGGACTTTTACTTGTATCAGAGTATTTTTACAGTGTGGTATTAGTGCTTTATACATTATGAGGTAAAGGATCTTAATACTTCGTCCACAACAATATTTAATGAGGTTAACTTATAACGTTACCCTGCTTGTGGTCAGTCTGCACAAGATCAACAAGCGTGTTTGCGTTGCGTCCCCTTTAAATACAAGATAAGCATTCGATCTACGTCAGAGCGTCAGCGCGTCCACGAATCTTTCTACAGCGTTGTTGGCAGGGCGGCCAGAGCGATTTTTGACACTCTCGACGGCGGCGGTGTGAACGCACCTTTAGGGTTAGAGCTGAAATCAGCTGGCTAGATTTGAGTGCGTTTCTCGAGCAGATAAAGGTAGCTTGTGTTTGCGATCAGTGTGTGAAAGTGAGTGAGAAACATTATTTTCAGCAATCTGAGGACAGAATGAGTAAAATGAGGCCAGTGTCATTAGAAACTCCTCAGACGGACCTGAGCAATCAAACTGAATTACAGCTCCCTCTCATCATCTCATGAGCAGTCTTTATGAGAGCGATGATTAAATGATTCACGGCCTCAGCAGACTCACTTCATACTGAACGATCAATCCTGAGCCACAATGTGTATGAATACTTTTTACTTACTAAAAAATTTTAATCATTTTTTTTTTAGAACACTTTTTCTAAAAAAAAATTTTTTTACAGTATATTACAGTGAAATAAAATTTTAGATTTTTAATATATCATTTTCACTCACTTTTAAACTCTCCATATAAAGTAATAATTTATGACACTCATGTTTCTGGAATGTGAACGTCATTGTAATATTCTTCATCTGTCATTATCAGAGTTTTGTTGATGTGCTGGAATCATGATGTGTCTGAATCAAACTCCACGCAGCAGAAATACTTCATTCGCATTAGAGTGCTGCTGGGATATTAGACACATCATTAGTGAAGATGTGAGACTCGTACCTTTGAGTTTGACGTGGACTCGAGGAAACACAGTCTGTTCCCGAAGCCCTCGGCAGCCAGACAGAGCTTCTGCTGCTCCTTATGGACCATCGCGGAGCACTGGAGGACCACCTCATCATCCTGAAACAAACACACATCAGACAGAGCGTCACACGTCAACACCACACACTGACCGTCATCTGGAGCTGAGCTTCATGAGGAGATGCAGCGGGTTTATGAAAAGCTAATCATTCATTAAATCATTAAAATGCCCATTTTTTATAAATAAATGTAAAATAAAAAGAATCAAAATAAACCACCTTCTAAAAAACACTAAATATTTCATTTGAAGAAAATAAATAAATAAATAAATAGATAAAAATAGAGATAGATTATCTTAAAAATTCTGGTGGACCTTAAGAAAATATTTTAGCTCAAAGGGGTTCGGCTGACATAACAGTTTGGAAACTGCTGCTCTAAACAATAATCATAATGCCAAAAGGATTTTCATATCAAAGCACACATTCTCTCCGATGAACGAGTGAAATCTCTCTGAAGACGTTACGTATGTGGTGGAATAATCTAAACGATTCATGATCCTCAGAGCTTCAGGAGGTCACAGATACTCAGATGAAGCGCTGCAGCTCTGAATGTCCTCCTACACACACTGATGGATGTGGAGCGCATGCGTGTGTGTGTGTGTGTGTGTGTGTGTGTGTGTCTAGGTGCCGGGCGCCATCATCAGGGCTGCTAGGGCTGCTTGGTTGTTTATGTGTTTGCATATCTGTAATGGAAGGAAGAGAGAAGTCACATCTCTGCAGTTAATGAGCTCTCCAGGCAACAGCTGCCGCCATACGGGGCACCACACGTACATGCACAGACTCAATCACCCTAAACCACACCTACTGTGTGTGAGTGAGTGAGTGTGTGTGTGTGTGTGTGAGTGTGTGACGGGTTCCTCTGAATCAGACAGACAGAGAGTCTCTCCATCTACACTACTTCATACACGCAATATCCACAACATCATCATGAGAGATTCAGCAGACGTCATCTTAAAACATGACTGCATGAATCCACACACACACACACACACACACACTCACTCACTCACACACTCACACACTCACACACTCACACACACACACACACACACACTTCAACCTCAAACTCACTGAAGATTCAATGACATGAAACTAACAAACTTCGAAACATCAACATAAAACTCCCTGAGACTTGTGCTGCTGCAGACGGACAGAACTAAACATATGTGTCATCATATATTGAATATATAACTTCATGAGCGTCAGGTGAGCGTCTCTGATGTTCAGTGTGATTGATTACAGCTCCAGCAATAAACATATGAACAGATCAATCATCTGTCAGTCATCTCTTACAATCCTTCATCAATCACTATCTAACGACTTCATCATCTTCATCTCTGACACTGATATTACAAATACAATAACTCAGATACCATATCAGACAATAAACTCTATTATCGTTATATCAAAACAAAAACAATCAACTCCATGAAAACTGATTAAGGAAAAGAGTTATTACAACATCGACAGCAGATAAAGCATCACCACTTCAATATTGCAGGACATTTTCTTATAAGCTACCATTAAAATAAATAAGTTATTTATTTATTATATATGTATCTGCAAGATTTGACCTGTTTATTCTTTAGATTTCTGTCTGTATTAGCCATAAAACAAACACAGGTCAGTCAACCACAATAATCAATAAACAATACATGAGAATACTGCAGCAGCTGATGCAGCGAGAGCGCAAACACACACACACACACACACACACACACACACACACACCAACACACACACAC